CCTGCACCACCCCAGCCCTCCCTCCCTGCTCCCCTCCCTGCCCCGAGGCCGCGGGAAGAAGCCACGTAATGTACATTTCCAGAGAAGCTTTGGGTGTAAATCAGTGTATACTTGGAGAGGGAAAATTTTTCTATCTTGTAGAGTAGGTATTTTTATAGAATGAAGGTTGATCCATTTTTTTAATACTTTAAAAGAAGAGAGAAATGTATCTGTGTATACACAAAAGCATATATATATATATATATATGTATAAATATATAAATATTGGAGATCTGCCTTTCTCGACTTGGGATCCTGGATCCCCAGGTCTCAAACAATCGTTTGTTTTTTCCTGTCGCTCTCACAGAGGTACTGTAACTGTAAATAAGCACCGGGGAAAAAAAAAAAAGTTTTAAGCAAACAAAAAGCACTGACTTGCACATTCACCATGCTTTAAAGTCCCTATGGAGAGAGAAAAACAAAAACAAAAACAAGACAAAAACTGTACATCCTGAAAATGTTCCTCTTTCCCAACCGCTATGTGAAGGAAGTCCCCCCAAAAAGAGGCAAAAATGGTATTGTCTTAACTGATGTATCAATTCTTGTCGGATTAAAAGCTGTTACTATTCCTGCCCAGAGCCTGTTCTTCCACAGAGCATCCTGAGGATCCCAGTGCTGCATTGGAGCATCCCAAATATCCAAGTGCTGCATCTCCAGTGGGGCTGGACTGAGTGGAAATGCTCCTGCACCAAGGAGTGCCCTGGTTTTGGGAGGAGGAGGATGAGGATGAACGGGAAAGAATGAGGATGAGGAAAGCTAGAGCTGGCTGGAATCTCCTGATTTTGGGAGGATGAGGATGAAGATGAGGATGAGGATGAGGGAGGCTGCACTTGGCTGGAGTGCCCTGATTTTGGGAGGATGAGGAGGAGGAGGAGGATGAGGATGAATGAGAAAGAATAAGAATGAGAATGAGGAAAGCTAGAGCTGGCTGGAATCTCCTGATTTTGGGAGGATGAGGATGAGGATGAAGATAAGGATGAGGATGAGGGAGGCTGCACTTGGCTGGAATGCCCTGATTTTGGGAGGATGAGGAGGAGGAGGATGAGAATGAGAATAAGAATAAGAATGAGGATGAGGAAAGCTAGAGCTGGCTGAACATGATTTTGGGAGGATGAGGATGAGTGAGGCTGGAGCTGGCCGGGATACCCTGATTTTGGGAGGATGAGGATGAGGATGAGGAAGGCAGGACCCCGCCGATTGCAGAGGGATGAAGGTCGGAGGGAGCCAGGATCTCCCCAGCCAGCCGAGCTGTGTGGGTGGCAATGGGGGAATTCCCTGCTCACCTTCCTGGAGGATCCAGGTGGGACCCTGGGAGCCGGTGCTGCTGCCCAGGGCCGGGCAGGCTGGGACGGGGC